AATCACTTTCAATTACTGGAAGAGTTACTTTGAAATAATTTGGCTTAATTCTGAAAATAATTCACCCCAACTAATCAGGATCGCCCCTTTAGACAATAGCATAAGGATAAAAATATATGGTAAAGATAAGATTCCTATCCAACCCCGACTTGAAAAAGGTCCTACATTTTCAAAAGAACATTCTTCCATTTATAATCTCTAGGATTACTCTGCCAACAGTTTCCAGCATTCTTGAGGTTGCAACACCCTCTCATGTGTTTGATTTCACAACATTCGCCACCTGAAAGTTCTATATATCTTACGCTTTAAAAACAGAGTTAATTTTCTTTGGAGAATTCCAACTTTTATTTTTAGAAAACTGGAAGCATCCAAAGGTATCTGAAAACCAGGGCTGGGAATTGTGGCTTGACATAATGGGAAAAAAAGTTACTTTAAAAGGTGAACCACATTTGTTCTTGGCCAGTACAGTTATCTAGATTATCAAATACCCTAAAAAAAATAATTCAATAATCTGTGAACAGATCAGTACACTCTAGAAGAGCTTTCTCTTCAGCAATGAATTAACACTTAAATTTAAGTATAGCTGTAGGATTATTTGAAGAGCTATTTTTCAATGCAACAACCATTAAGAAAACACTTTAGCATGGCAATATTCCCAAAATGAAGAGGTTAACTAGTTTTAGGTGTTTAACAAGACCACAGGGTCCCCTTTATCTAATGCCTTACATTTGACAAAGCACTTGCCTCACAATGATCCTATTGGGCAGGCCCAGAGAGGCTACTCTACTACCAGCTTGAAAATCAGTCAGGAATCAAAACACCCAAGCCTTTTCATTTTCTAAGCTGGTGTCCTTTGCACTACACAACACAGGCACACCTTGTTCTATTGTACTTTACTTTACTGCACTTTGCAGATACGGTGTTTTTCACAAACCAAAGGTTTGTGGCAACCCTGTGTTGATCAAGTCTGGCAGAGCCATTTTTAAGACAGCATGTGCTCCCATTATATTTCTGTGCCACATTTTAATTCTCACGTTTCAAACTTTTTCATCATTATTATTATATCTGTTTTGGTCATCTGTGATGTCTGATGGTACTACTGAAATTGTTTTGGGGTGCCACAAACCAGGCCCATGTAAGACAGTAAACTTAATTGATACATGGTTGTGTATGTTCTGACTGTTCCCTCTCTCTCTCTCCTTGGGACTCTCTATTCCCTGAGATACAATATTGAAATTACGCTAAGAGTTAATGCTCAAATGTAAGAAAGTGCCACAGCCACCCCAACCTTCACCAACCATTACCCAGCTCAGTCAACAGCCATCAATATCAAGGCAAGACCCCTTCACCAGCAAAAATATTAGGACTCACTGAAGGCTCAGATGATGACCAACATTTTTTCTTTAATAAAGTATTTTTTAATTAAGGTATGTATATTGGGTTTTTTTAGACTTCATACTATTACACATTTAATAGACTACAACCTAGTGTAAACATAACTTTTATATATGCTGAGAAACCAAAAAAATTCATGTGACTCACTTTATTGCAGCGGTCTAGAACCAAACCCAAAGTACCTCCAAGGTATGCCTGTACTACCTAACGTTTTCCCCCTTGTTGCTTGTTATTTGTGCATATACTTATTGCAATTCAAAAAATTCATCATTCATATTTTTAAATTTTTAAATTTCACATAAGACAGCCAAAGGAAGAAAACAAGCATTTTTTAGGTTCTATATTACGTGCCAGACATTATGCTGAGTGCCTTACAAATATCTCATTGGATCCTCACAACAATCCTGGGCTGAAGTGCTGTTATGATCCCCATTCTACAGTCAAGGAACCTGACAGAGGTTAAATAACTTGCCTAAGGTCACACAGCTAAAATGTGTTCAAGTCTGAATTTGAACTCAAGTCTTCTTGAGTCCAATCAATGCTCTAACCACTGTGCCACCTAGCTGCCTTTTAATTTTTTTTTAAAAAGTAAATAGGTAGAACCAACAGAACATTGGAAACGGTAAAAGCAATATTGTTCAAAGAATTACTGTGAACAGCTAACCTATTCTGAGTATTATAACTATTCAGCTCAACTACAAAGGACCTACGAAGGAAGATGCTATCCCCCTTCAGAGAAAGAACTGATAAATAGAAGTATATGTAGTATGGTTTTATATATACATATATATATATATGTGTGTGTGTATATATATATATATATACACACACACATATAACATTCATTATATATATATATACACACACATATATACATATACATGTATGTATGAATGTGTGTATACACACATGTCAAATGGTGGCCTTCTCTAATGTAGGGTGGGGAGGGAGAGAGGGAAACAGTTTGGAACTCAAAATATAACAAAAAATAAATTAAATTTTAAAAACCAAGTGAAACTAAAAAAAAGGTAAACAAGATAGGTATATAATACATATACATTTGCCCCATACCATCAGTTTCTCTTATCCATGAGACTATATTAAAAACCAAATGTTAATTTCCTGCCGGAACAGAAAACACAACCAGGTAATCAGTTCTTATGCTATTCATATAATTTTTGGTCGTTACACCGTACCGAAAATCAAAAAACAAAAAATACTGTAGGGAAAGTGCAGTGATGTCACTCTTTAATAGCTGCATCACACTTTTTGAAAAGCATTGTGGCACAGTAGATAAAAGAACTATCCTGAGCCAGGAAGACTGGGTTCCCGGCCTGTCTGACAAGGTGGCTGTGGCCATCAGCAAGTCATGGAAGACTGAGTTGCAGAAGGTGCTGAGGTAGAGGGAGTTTCCTCATCTCTGCACCAATGGTCTCAAACAGAAAAAGATCACTGCAGGCCACATGACTTAGAAAACCACAAATCCACATTACGATGTATTTTTGTGTCACTAAATATTTCTCAATTACATTTTAATATGGTTCTAGCACACTTGGGAGCAACCTGCTGGTCCTGAGTTTGACACCTCTGCGTACCAATGAAATCACAGGTCCTATTCCTATCAGACTTTTCACAAGTTCAGATCTCCATCAATCCTCTCCAGATCTAGAGCTGAAAAGGATGTTAAAGAAGATCTAGGTCAGCACCTTTACTTTACAGACTGGAAACAGAGTTGGAGAGGTTACTGATTTGTCCAACATCACACTGGTGAGTGTTCAGGCTGGCACTTGAACCTAACTGGCTCAACTATTCACAAGGCCTTCAGCGGTTCAGTTTCTACTACAAATAACTGTAGCTACCAAAGGTGAAATGATGCAGTGGCAGGAAGCAGTAGGGAGGCTCAAAGCTTAATGCCTTCCTTAGCATTGTCTCCCTCCTCTACCTTCTCCATCCCACATTCTGCTGCTGTGTTACCTGTGAACACATATCCTTCTGGTAGAACTTAAGCTCTTTTAAGGCAGGGACTGACTCCTTTTGTACTTGTTACCCCTAGTGCCTCTCTTAGCAGAAACTTAATAAATGATTGATTGATAGAAGGGGGTGGCTTTTACTTTAAGGAGACTGAACTAAAGATGTAAGTAAGTGACTAAGATTCAAATCAGACAACTACTAGTAATCAGTCTAGTGTGCTAGTATATACTATAATGGAAAACGTGTTGGTCTTGGGAATCCCGTTACATGGCTTTAAATCCTGTTTTAACACACAGCATGAGCAAGAACCTCTCAAAGGCTTAGTTCCCTCATCTGTAAAATGGCCTTCTAATTTTACAGAATTTTGAGTCTCAAATGAGGTAATCTTCACTTTAAGATACAAGTTCCATAAGTGATCCCACTTGTAGAAATTCATTAATTAGAAAAAATAAAGAAACTTTGCTAATATTCACATTAGCAAGAGGGAGAAATAGGGATATTAATATTAGATTAAGACTTCTCATACCCCATGTAGAACTTAACAGGAAATGATGTGAGGGAATAGAACACAAATCCAGCTTTCAATAGCCAAGTGATCTGTGCAAAAGTGAACCACACTCATCCCCTTTTTCCTCCCAAATTACCTGAGTAAATTATACTTAAACTACTTTTTGAGCAAAAAGGCCAAAGACCTAATACTAAAACCAAAATGACAAGCTAATCTTTACTTGACAATAACATAATTCCCGATTTATGAAGGAATTTACTCAAACTCCAGTCTGTAACTGTGCACACTGTAAAAACAAGAAGATATATCAACTGCTGTCTGTGAAAACCAGATTCCTTTCTTTAAAAGGGGTGAGGGACCAGGGATTGGAAGATGTGAGGGAAAACTAATAACCAGTCGTTTCTACAAAGCTTATTTGTGCTTATGTGGAGGTCAACCATGAAAGAAAACATTTTTAAACTCCTAAGATTAAAGGGATTGATTATGAGAGCCTGGAATGAATCAAAACCAAAAATTCCGTTAACTAAAATTTTAAAAAATTAAAAATCTACACTGAAAACCAAACTACTACACCAACTAAGCCAATGCTTATATACTTTCCCCGCTCTCTGGAGGAATCAATACCAAAGAGGAATCAATGTCCACATCTACAATTTGCTAGGTAAAAATACGTATATGTAAATAATGGCAGCAATTTGTTACTCTACTTGTAAATTATTTCCTCACAAAGACTTTTTAAATAGTTGTCCAATCTAGGTTACTATTAAAAAATTCAGTATTATTACCACATCTAAGAAAAACGTGATTTGTGAAAGAGAAATGAATCCACCTACAGAAGTCATTTTAGAGAGGGGCAGGCCCAGAGTGGTGGATCACAAGCCAACCTCAGAATCTGGTAGACTTGGATTAAAGTCCCTCTTCTAGCAACATACAAAGGCTGTGTCCTATGATGTGGGCAAGTAACTTAACCTCAGTGCCCTCGACCAGCTAACTCCAAGCCTATAAATTGCAGAGCAGATGTGAATTGCATTGGCGAAAGGCATTTCTTCAAAGAAAATTCTTAAACCAATGAAATCATACATCAGTCCAAAAGAACAAAAAATTTAAATTTGCTACTAGGAGACAATAAAATTAAAAGTATGCATTTATTCATTCCATTAGCTGAGAATAGTCCTATTATACAAATACAGTAAAAAGTCAAAAAAATCACAAAATATTACAAAATAAAAAAGTACAAACTGCATTACTTAATAAATATGACTAAAAGTAGTTAAAATTGGAAACAAGATAGCTTTTAAGTTGGAAACGTTTGACCCAGCAAACCATACAAGCTCTTTTCAGATAGCTTTACATAACACCAGACAATTCCATTTTATCCTTGAAAGTATTTCAAAGGAACAAAGTACAAAGATAATATTCTCCTGCCACAATTTAATTGCTGTCAAGGGCATTTATACTGTTAATTTCAAAATACCCAAGGTGAATCAGAGACACTTATTATAAAAGCAGAAGACTATTATCTTGTTACCACATTTTATCCTATGTTAAAATCCTATTGTAACAAATGAAAAATAAATAAAACTGAGCACCAGACAATCAGAGGCCACTTTACACAGTAATCAAAGTACAGAATCACTATACCAATGAACATGGACCTCAATCAGTCAGAACTTGTTCTGCCCTTTAGACAAAATGTTTTTCCTCTACCTCATTTCCTATCCCCCAATTTTTTTTAAAAGCTTTTCCTTTTCTTAAAGAATCCTACAGTTTCCAATCAAGAAATTCTTCTCCTCAAGATGGAATGGATCAATTATCTGGTAACACCAATGACATCAATTTCATTTGAAAGAATAAATGTAAAGTTCAAATCCCACATAGCATAAAAGAACACAAATTCTGTACAAAATAAGCTTTATACAAAGTACTTCTCTGGGTCTCTGCCCAAAAGCCATTTGCCAAAATGAGACATCATAAATGGAGGTACACCAATCTTAAAAAATATTGTGCAAAAATACATTTTTATAGAAAATAGATTACCAGGAATAAACAAATATACACTATGAGAAAATCAGCTTGCAAATAAAGTGGTGCTAACTTTATACAACAAATTATAAATAGCATTAAGACTACTCAAGGCTATCATAAAACATCATTCAGGTGCGCTGCAACCTTCAGCTCCGGGGAAAAAAAATTTTGTTCCAACAAAATGATTAAGGCATCACACCTACAGTAAATCTAGTAAGTTTAAAAAGTGCTGTAACCCTGATTAGAATCAGTGTAAATTTCCAAACGCAAACCGAGTAAGCGCATTCCCCCCCAGCTGGCCCTCTCAGGAGCAGGCGTTCTGCTCAATGTACATCTTGGACAGGGAGATGGCCATGGACCTGGCGAGCTCTTCGTCCCGCTTCCTCTGCACTTGAGTTTGCTTGCACCAATTGTCATACTCCGGGTTGGGGTACGAGTGATCGAACACAGCATCGTAGTGCCCGTTACTGAGCCAGCTCAGCCAGATGCTAGGCCGGAGCGAGTCCTCGGGGCCCAGGTAGTGGATCATGGTGGAGACCGTGGGGCTCTCCAGCCGCCCTCCCGTAGTTAAGTGGATGTTAACGTTGAGCATCTGCCCCATGGCCAGCAGCTCCGGGTAGCCGGCCCAGGCCCCGTCCTGCGCCGCGGCGATGATGAACTCGCCCACGTCGCCCTCGATGAGGGGGCCGAAGTGGTCCAGGTGGTCGGCGATGTAGTGCACGGTCTGTTCTCGCAGCTCCCGGTGCTGGCTCTGGTCGCCCGACACCGCCTTGCTCACGGCCCGGTACAGGCAGTTGCCGTCGGGAATGATGTGGAAACGGTACTTGCTCCTCTGCCGCAGGTACTTGTCCTGCCGCTCCACCTCGGCCAGATACAGGGCCAGCTTCTCGTCCTTGGGGCCCGCGGGGGCCGCCGCGCCGGGGGAGGGGGCGCCGCGGCCTGGGGGCTCCGGGGCGCGGGGCGCGGGGGCCGGCTCGGCGCGGGCCCGGGGCGCGGCCGAGGCAGCCTCCCAGCGCCGGGGGCTGCCCTCGCGGGGCTCCGGGGCGGCGGCGGCGCGGGGCCTGGCGGCGGCCAGGGCCTGCTGGTGCTCGCTCAGACGGAAGTTTCGCTCGGGCCCGTCCGGGCGTGGGCCGGCCTCGGGGCCCGGCTTGAGCAGCTCCTCCAGGAGCCAGGCGGACGACGAGCAGCGGCGCGGCGGCTCGGGCGGCCGGCGCTCGGGGCCCAGGCAGCGCACGCTCATCTGCGCCGTGGACGTGTAGTGCGGCGGCGGCGGAGGCGGCGGCGGGGGCAGCGGCGGCTTGCACGACCCGCCGACAGCGGCGGCTGCAGGGGCGGCGGCGCCCGGCGGCACCATCTCGAAGCACGAGGAGAAGGCGGGCATCGCGGTGGCGGCGGCGGCCTCTCGGGACTCGGCGGCCGGAGGGGCGACGGGCAGGCACTCAGCGCCGGCGGCCTCGGCGGCGGCGGCGTCCGGAGCCTGCAAGGAGACCTTGAAGGGGGCGGTGGCCGCCGAGGGCGGGGAGGGGGCGGCGGCGGGTCCCCCCGAGGGGTAGTGGCTGAAGCCCGGGCTGTAGAGCTGCATGTCCGCGCCGCCGCCGCTCCGGCCCCTTATAGGCGCGGCGAGCCCCCGGCGGGGGGACACGCCCTCCGGGCTCCAGGGGGCCGCGGCCCAGGCGGGTGAGCCGCCGCCACTAGAATAGAAATGACCCAACCACCATCCCGGGCCGGCCGCCCGCCGCTCGTCAGCGGCCGCAAATAGCGCCCGGGCCGGGCCCGCCAATTCCTGCTGCGCCACAGGGCGGGGGGCGGGGGTGGGGAGCGCGGGTCACGGGGGCTGCGGCGGCAGCGGCGACTGCTGCGGTCCCGGCGTCTCGGCCTTCCCCTCTACGCGCCGGCCGCTGCTCCAGGAGCCGCAGGACTCCCTGAGGAAGCCGCCCGCCCCGCTGGAGTGAGTCCCGGAGGCCGGGGAGAGGGTGTGAAGGGGCCGGGGAGGCGGGCTCCCCGCCCCCTCCCTCCGCCCAGAGCTTGTTTACCTCAGGCCGCGAGGCCCGGTCACGTGGGCACGCTGGAATGTGCGGATCGTTGCCGCGTCTCATTCACCCGCCCCGGAGGTCGCCCCGCCCACCGCCTCCTCCCGGATCCTGGCGCTCAGCGCGCGTCAGCTGAGCCCGTTCCCACTCCTCCCTTCCCCCGCCCCTTCTCTTCTCCCGCCGGGGGGTGTGAGCGTGTGAGTCGGCTTCATTCTTAATGGACTCTCGGGTCGCGGGATTCCAGGAGGCCACCCACGTGACTCCTCGGCCTCCCCTCCCCTCCCCCCTCTCCAGTCCTTAGGCTTGCACCAGGGTTTAGGTGGAGGTGCCGGGACCTGTGGCCCCTGGGTCCCGAAAGACTGTTTGTAAAAGAACTTCGCACACCTGAAAGCGCCGTGTAAATGCTAAATGCCATAATTATTATGAAAGCCCTTCCAAATTATTAAAGCTCCCGCTATTTTTAAGTTATTAAATGTTCGATTATTATGAAAGCCTTCCCTTTTAAATTAAGTTACAAAATTTTGTGATTAAACTATTTAAATTAACTTCGTTAACTATTTCCAATTATTATTAACGCCTTCCTTTATTATTTTTAAATTATTAAAGGCTTGTGTTATTTTAAAATTTCCCGTTGTAACTCCTCGGCCAGGATCTTGCTGCCCTGATGGGGCTGAATTGAGAATTGCAGTGAGCTTTGGGCAAGACAGGGTTCTGTTGCTTGACCTTGGGCAAATCGATGGTCCCTTTGGGCTGCCGAGGTCTGCTTTCGTCACCTTGGAAAGGGTTCCTGTTCAGTGACGTCCAGTTCGGACGTTCTGTTGTTCTAGAGGAGCTACGTTGGGTTAGACCTAGGACTTACTTTGCACGTACTGTGTCTACACGGTGTGTTTATTTCAGGCTCAGAGTCACAGACCTTAAAAAGCCAGCCTCCCTTGATGTGGCCTCAAAAGTTGCATGAAAAGATCTGCTAAACTTCTTAAGGGCAGAAACTGCCTTTTGCCTCATTTGATATCCTCGGCACTTAGCACTGTGCCTGGCCACAGTAGACACTTAATAATGTTTACTGACTGATTAACTAACTGATTAAGGATGCATTAGAAATCTAATTCCTTGGGGAACAGAGGAGAGCTTCCCCTTTTTTCTCATGGTTGTCATGGCTGATAATGATTGAGGGTCTTTGGGAAGGAGCAAATGGTTATGGAGTCCTGGGGTTGGGTTTAAAACTGGTGCTCCACAACTCACTAATCTCTCTGGGCTTCAGTTTCCTCATCTATAAAATGAGGCAGCTGGGGCTCGTGGATACTGTGCGGGGCCTGGAACTCAGGAAGACCTGAGTTCAAATCTGGCCTCAGACACTAACAGTGTGACCCTGGACAAGTCATTTAACTTTGTTTACCTTAATCCGCTGGGGAAAAAAATGGCGAACCACTGCCGTCATCCTTGGGTGGGTGGGAGGGAACTGTGGACATTATGATCACAGGATCAGCAGGCGTTAGACACAACTGAACAACAAAATGAGGAAGTTAAACTAGACATCTTTTAAGCTTCCTGACCCACTCCAATCTGAACCATGAACTGCACCCCTAACCTCAGCCAACAGAATGACCTTCTTCGTTATAATTTTTGATAAAGGAAGGTAAATTGCTCTGTTAAATCCCATGCAGCGCATGTCACTCATTTCACTCAACTCAAAAACATCAAGCCTCCTGTAGCATACAGCTAGACACTGTCCATGCAATAGTTATGGAGTACCTGCTGTTTAGATTCCCCCTCATAGTTATGCATTTTTTTATGCCCCATACTGGTTTAAAGTCCTTTACAGTTTGGTTCCAGCCTCATTCACATTTCAGCCACGCTGGCCCACTTGGCTGTTTTCCAACCCAGTACTTTGTCTCATAGCTTTGTGTCTTTGCTCAGTCTCACCCAAGTCCTCTAACTCCAAATTCATATACGTGTGAACCATGGATACAGTAGTAACTATATATTATAGTAGATGCTCAATATATATTCCTTGAATAGACTGAATAGGTTAGGAAACCTTAACTTGGCCACACGCTGCAAAGAAGACACCAAGTTAAAAGGTCTTCATGGGTTAAGTTATAAGTTTTAAACTGGAAAAAAAAATACATTGGGCCCCAACTGCAGCATTCAGATTATTTTGGGAGGTTGAGACCAATCATTTTAATAATCCAACAGCCTGCAAAATTTTCTCAAGATATCTAAAAAATATGTAGAGAATCTACTTAAGATTCCTTCCACATGAACAGTGAAAACAGCTTTATTAAATACCCTCCATGGTGTGGTGGTGTCAGTGGCCTAGAAAGGCTTAGACTGCATTCTATTCCAGCTTTTCAACAGCTGCATTCCAAAGCAGATAACCTGCAAGAAGTCCAGCCTTCTCCAAATAACACTGGCTAGAGATAGGGGGGGACAAAAGCAATCCCCTGCCCTCAAGGAGGGCACATTCTAATGGCAAGGACAAAATGAAAATAACTAGATACACACCAAAAATATACAGAACACACAAAAGGTAATCTGATAGGAGAAGATATTAGCAGCTGAAGGAACTGGGACTGGCCTACAGAAAGTGGGACTTAAGCCAAGCCTTGACAGAAGGCAAAGGACTCAAGTGGTGGACATGAGGGGGAACTGCATTCCAGGCATAGGGAACAGTTAGTACGAAGGCACAGTAACAGTAGATGTCAAGTCATGTATAAAGAACAGCATCCTATCTGGACTATGGAGCAGTGTGAGAGAAAAGAACAAGCATTTATTCCTGCTGTACCTGCTATGTGCCTGGCCTTAATCTCACAACAGCCCTCCCAAGTAGGTGGTGTCATTATCCCCATTTTATAGTGGGGGAAACTAAGGCAAGCAAAGATTATGTGACTTGCCCAGGTTTGAACAGCTAGTAAGTGTCTGAGGCCAGACTTGAACTGTGCCACCAGCTTACTGTATAAGGTGAAGGGTATAAGGTATAAGAAGGCTGGAAATATAAGAAAGGGAAGAACTTTAAATGCCAGACTTATTTGATCCTGTAGTTAACAGGGAGCCACTGAAGCTCACTTTGGAGGATAGGGAGTGACTTGGTCAAAATTCTGCTTTAGAGAAATCTATTCAGCTATTATGCTATAAGAAATGACTAGAAGGTGGTTTTAGAAAAACCTCAGAAGACTGAAATGAATTGATGCAGTGAGCTGAGCAAAACCAGGAGAACATTGTACACAGTTAACGATGATCAGCTGTGGAAGGCTTAGCTATCTGATTATAACAGTGATCCAAGACAATTCCAAAGGACCCGTGATGAAAAATGCTATCCACCTCCACAGAAAGAACTGATGAACCCTGACTGCCGATGAAAGCATGCGTTTTTTCACCTTCCCCCTTTTTTTTTAACAACATGGCTAATGTGGAAATGTTCTGCATCACTTCACGTGTATAATGGTTGATACTGTATTACTTATATTGCTTGCCTTCTCAATGGGTAGGGGAATAAATGTTAAAAAATAAATAATCTTTTAAAAAATCCATTCAACATTTATTAAGCACCTATGTGCAAGGCTAATCTGGAGTTATGAAGACAAAAATGAACCATTCTCCCCTCAAGGAGTTCAAATTCCAAAGGAGGAATTATTAGGTCTGACTTCATCCTACTGCAGTAAAATTTGTGTTATAGTATTCTTAATCATTCAGTAATGTGTATCAACATCATCTGTGAAAAATTACTGCATTGCTAGGTTGCCAAGAAATAGATAAAATTCAAGTCAGGACAAAAGCACGAGACACACATTAAGTGTACATACCCCATTCCCTCCTTTTTACGCCCCTGGAGCATTAATGGTAAACTTAGGAACTAGGTCACATCAAGTCAACAAGCATTTATTAAGCACCCAATATGTGCCAGGCACTTAACTAAGCGCTGGTATACAAAGAATAGCAAAAAACCATCCCTGCTCTGGAGGAACTCGCAGTCTACTATGGGTACCTGGGGCCTGGCCCTTATAAGCATGCACATGCATGAGGATGTGTAATAGAAATGACTTGGAGTGGCCTTAAGCATTCATAGACCTGATTCAAGGAGGCCCTGCTTCTGATCATTTCAGTCAACTGAAAAACGTTCTTCCGTAACAAAGATAATTACTCTTAAGTTGAAGGAGATAATCAATGGAGCCTCACCCTTACATATGTATGAAAATATTAACCCATGGTGGCTGAGACCCATAGTTGAGTCTTGGGGGCTGGGGGGTAAGGAATAGGGGGTGAGAATTAGGGCTGTGAAAGATCTTAAAAGTCTTGTAGTCTAACCCCCTCAACAGATGTAGAAACTGAGGTCCAGAAAAATTAAGGGACTTGCCCAAGGTCACATGATCAGCAAGTGAAATGGCCAAAATTTCACGTAGGTCCTTCGACTTCAGATCTAGTAAGCATTCCACCGTATCTGACAGTCCTCCGCTTCCGGGCCTCCTCTTTGAGAACTTCTCTCTGCTCCCCTCTTTCAATTTTGTTAAAGCTCTCTATGACAAAAGCTTGTCATGCTTTCTCTGAAATTCTCTGTAAGCTCTAGAGACAAGGTGGAAATCAGAGACATGTTAGGATGCAGCTTTCCCCAGATGTCTGCCTTCTCTCTCCCTATAAGTCTCTC